TTGGAACCTTTTTTTTTTTTTTAATACTCCCTTTAACGAAGAGAAACTGAGGCCCAAAAAGAGGCAAGTCAAATCTGGGCTAGAAGCCAAGCCCTCAGCCCCTAGGAACAACCCTGGAGGCCTGTACTGCATGGAAAGGCCAGAGGGAGGACAGGTAAATAACTTTAACATGTAATGGTAGGGTAGCTGGGAAGAATAAGGGCCCAGTGCTTCTGCGATGATGCCCTGGGACCTGCAAGAGAAAGATATGGCAGTCTGTGTAAAGATTTATAGCCTTGGAAACCCCTTGAGGCAGTTTTAGTCTGTCCTGTTGGGTCACTATGAGTCAGAATTGAACAAGGACATGGGTTTGGTCTGTTTTTTGATTAATATAAATATGCTGTTTGGGTGCCAAAGTGAAATGTAAACAAGATTCCATCACAGACACTGTCAATAATGAGCGTGAAATTCACCTCAGAAGACAGTATCTGAAGAATTAAATGATCCAATAGATGTCACAAAGCTTTTCATGATTAACTGCTGAGTGAACGCCATAATTAGGATGATATTACCTTGGGTCATCGAGAACTGAGAGGGCTTGCAGGGCATTTCAGGTAAGGAAAACAAGTTGAATATTTTCAGTATAAACAAGTACAAACAAGACATATACATTCACTGATTTGTTCATTTATTCTTCCAACAAATTTTAATCACGTGCCAGACTCTGGCTTGGTGTCAGAGATGCACAGAAGACAGACTCTGCCCCAAGGTCTTACTATTTAGTGAAGGAGAAACATTAAAATGAAATTATAGAAGTAAGTACAAGCACTTTGGGAAAATGGAAGGAATAAGTAGCTCCATCTGGAAAGGTCAGGGAAGGCTTGAAAGAGGAGATACCTTTCACCTGAAACTTGAAATATAAACAGAAAGAATTCACGAGGCAAATTAGAGCATTCCACACAAGGGCACGGCATGTGTAAGGGCACAGTGGCTAAAAAGAACATGGCCCTCCCAACACTGTAAACAGTTCAGAAGGCAAGAACCAAGCATGCCTGTCTGCACTTACTGTTAGGAGAAGGAGACATAAGGAGCTGAGGGAGAGAATTAAAGCTGGAGATAAAGCTAGAATGAAAAACAAGGATCAAAATTGTGCAGGCCTTTGAATGCCATGCTTGAGAAGTTGAACTTACAAGTAGTTGAGAATTTCTCAAAGTGTGGCCCATGGATCACCTGCATCAGAATCACCTAGGGCTCCACTGGTCAAGAAATTAATTTAGTAGGTTAGATAAGCATTTTTAAAAAATGAAATGGAAAATAACAGAGATTATATTGCATGTATTATGGGAATTCCTTTTTTGTTTGTGTAAGCCTGCATATGCATGTACTTAATTGAGAAATAAAATCTCTTTCTGTGGATCACAGTCAAGGAAGTTAAGAAATGCTGACCTAGGATGCTAATCAAAATGCATATTCCCAGGTCTGACACCAGACCTGTAAATTTCAAATTAGGGCAGTGTGGCCTGGAATCTGCATTTTTAACAAGTACTAAGAGACTGACATGCACATTCAAATTGAGAACTACACCGAGGATGATTTGGAGCCACCGCAGGATGATAAGCAGAGCTCTGAAATTATCATATTGGTTCCAGAATGATCTTTTTGAACACAGTGTATACCAACTGGAGGGAGATCAAGAACACAGTTTAAAGATTATCACCAACGATTCAAGCTAAAAATGATATAAACTTACATTCCCAAAATGGCAGTAAGGAGAGAGGAGTAAATGGACTGAGAGATGGTCAGGGTGGGTGAATAAAACATTTTGCTTGGAACAGAGAAGGTTTCATGAAGAGGAACAGTGGAAGAGAAGGCAGGAAAGATGGGTGGGTGACTTGAAATACAGGCCCATTTCAGTTTTTAAAACTACATAGGAAGCTATTAGAAGTTTTTCATGAGACTAATATGTAAAACACTGCTCTAAGAAGATTATTCTGTTGTTGTTGTCACTTGCCCTTGGGTTGATTCTGTCTCATAGTGACCCCAAATGTGCAGAGTAGAACTGTACTCCACAGGATTTTCAAGACTGACTTATGCCAAGGCACCGCTGGGTAGGTTTAAATTGCCAACCTTTCAGTTAGTTCTCAAGCACTCTACCATTTATGCCACGCAGGGATTCCTTAGCATATTAACCTAGTAGGGAAAAATCAAGAGAGAACAAGATACTACTACAACTCAAATTAAGAGATCAGTTCCCCAGTTACGGTGAAAGGAAGGAAGGGATGTCAAAAACAAAACAAAACAAAAAAACACGAAATCAACAAACAAATACTATAAAGGATCAACTGGCGGGATCTTCTAGGCAGACTAGTACAGTGGTCACCAGGAGCTTTGGAGCCAGGACACCTGTAGTTCAAATGCCGGCTCCATCACCTACCAGTTGTGGGATGCTAAACAAATTAGTTTAACTTTTCTGTTTCCACTTCCTCATTTAAAATGTAGAGATAATAATAGTACCTGCACCTCACAGAAGGAGCTCCGGTAACACAGTGGATAAGGCATTTGGCTGCTAACCAGAAAGTCAGCAGTTCAAATTCAAGAGCTACTCTGCAGAAGGAAGACAGGGAGATCTGCTTCTATAAAGATTTACGGCTTCAGAAACCCAATGAGGGTCACTATGAGTTGGAATTGAATTGATGGCAGTGAGTGTGCACCTCATAGGCTGTTATAAAGATTAAATGAAGTAAAATATGTACTGCACTCACTATGTACTAGGAACTAAGAATTATGTGACTGTTTGTTAGTAACATCATTCCTGGTTCTGCATTACAAGGAAAAAAAAAAAGCTTCCACAGACGGCACATCAACCTCTTCTTTTTAATCCTCAGGAGGCAGGAGACCTAGGATCAATTTCTGGTTCCGCTACTTATATTTAGTGTTTGACATGGGAAAGTTACATACCCAAGATTTCAGTTTCTTTTTCGTAAAGCAGTATTCTTATAATGATTAAATGGGACAGTGTACATAAAGCACTTAAAATGTGCTCCCTGACATATAAAAAGTTTTAATAAATGGTAGCTATTATTTATAATCTCATTTTACATTCCTTATCTGTGTTTCATACTGCATCTCAATCTAGATGGCATCTTCAAGTGTGTCCTTTTAATTTGGCAATGAATCAACATTTTAAAGGAGCTACTTGACCCACAAATTTCCCACTTCTAAAAACAAAAATTTATCCTAAGCAGCACATATACTAAAATTGGAACGATACAGGGAAGATTAGCATGGCCCCTGTGCAAGGATGACATGCAAATTTGTGAAGTGTTCCATATTACCAAAAAAAAAAAAAAATTTATCTTAAGAAAATAATAATAGAAGAGCTGAACATACATATTCAATGGAGCTTTTTAAATTAAACACACACACACACACACACACACTAAATGCTCATTAAGAAATAACTAGGTAAACAAATTATGGTGGTCAACCTAAATAGTGGAATATTCTCTTAAAACAATAAAACATGTTTATGAGTACTAACATGGAAATATGTGTAAGATATATTCCAAAGTAGAAAACTGAAGCAGTAGAATAGGAAGTATAGCAAGATTCCATCTATATAAATATATATATTCCTATATGACTACATGCATAAAGAAAATCCTAGAAAAATATAGAACATCAAGCTTACTAGCAGTTTCCTTTGGAGACTAAGACTTAAGGAAAAAAAAATAAGTATTTTTCATACAACATGAAAAATAAAGACCTAGAGAAAAAAGAGATGCTGGACTTACAGGTCACAAAAACACAGTAACTGTCTTTGAACACATTCCTTACATTATTATCCCATCTCTTTATTTGTATATATCCAGGGAAAACACAAACCAGTAATATAAGCATGTCTTACACATGACAAAGAAACCTAATCTTTGAAAATTTTAAAGTTACTCAGTTCCTGAACTGTGAATATTTAAGTAGCTGCAGAAGACTTGAGAATACAGACAACAGTAGTGTCAGTACTTAGTTTGGCAGTCAATTGTCTATCCTAACAGTATAGAGAACTCACGAATGCCAGTGCCATGCCAAACTGTGCTGTAAGTATAAATGCTTAAAAAATGATTTTTATTATCCTTCATATTCCACTAAAAAAGTAAGTATCTTCCCATATGCAAAATACACTATGAAAATATTTTGTGTGGCTTCTATTTCTACACTGCTTTCTCTACATTGAGATTAAGTTTCACTGTTGAATACGTCCTCGAGTTAAATGGATTCCAATACCTTATCATCATAGCACCTACTCCACATTCAGAAAGGAGAATGTATATTGTCTCCTGAAATGGCATAAGGACACATTCAAAGAAAATGAGAGCACTTTTGAGAAGGTTTTCTTAGAGAAAACAATGACACTCCCCACTGATACCAGAAAACCTTCTCTGCAAAAGCAGTGTTTTTCTAACAACTGTGAAAAATTTTAAATAAATTTGGTTTACAGACACAGGTATAAGTTTACAAGTAGAAAATGAACACGACTTAAACAGTTTTTAAAACACAGGTTCAAGATAACCAGATGTCACATACACAACAAATCAATATCCAAATAATAAAAACCAAACCATTAAGTTGCGAACTCATGGGGATCCACATGTGTCTGAGTAGAACTGTGCTCTATAAAGTTTCTATTGGCTATTTTTTTTTGCAAGTACATGGCAAGGCCTTTCTTCCATAGCACCTCTGGGTAGACTCAAACCTCCAAACTTTCAGTTAGCAGATGACTCCCACTAAGGACTCCATCCAAATAACAGAAGTGACTATATCAAACATGAGGAGCTCTGGTAGTGTAGTGGTTAAGGCATTTGGGTGCTAACCAGAAGGTCGGCAGTTGAAACCCACCAGTTGTTCCACAGAGGAAGGAAGGAGTTGTCTGCTCCCATAAAGATTTACAGCTTTGGAAACCCAATGGGGGTTGCTATGAGTCAGAAATGACTCAATGGGCAGTGAGTGATATTAAGCATACTTACCATTGAAAGGATTGATTCCTGCCCTTATTCGTGAAATAATAGCTTCTTTTACTTCTTTTTTCTTTACACATCGAATACCCAAATTTTGAAAACTAGAAAGGAAAAATAAAACTTTTAAAACTGCATTACAGTTAAAAACAAAGACACTAAAATGAGGTTCTACTTGCAGAAATCAAGCATATATCCAACAATGAAAAGTTACCATAGTGGCAGAGCTATTAAAGCACGGAATATATTTCCCAAGTGCTAGGATAAAAACACAAAGGTAAAAAAAATCATAGTTATAGTTTTATGAGAATTGTTAAATGAAAAATAGCATATACAGTATCATTTTTACACACAATTTTTATAATTATACCTTAAGAATATGACTAGCGAACACTGGTGATACAATGGTTAAGTGCTTGGCTGCTAACCAGAAGGTCAGTGTTCTAAGCCACCTGGCAGCTCAGAGGGAGATTTGCTCCAGTAAAGACTGTAGTCTAGGAAACCCACAGGCAGTTCTATTCTGTCCTATAGGATTTAAATGAGTCAGAATCACCTCAATGGCACTCAACAACAAACAATATACCTATGTCAAATATATCAGAGTAGATAAAGATTAATAGGAAAGTAACATCAAAAAGCTAAAATTCCTCTCCCAAATAAATTCATAATAAAATTTGTGTAGTTGAGTGGCTAAAGCAGAGGCTATAAAAAGATGTCAAGAGGCTGAAGGCCACAGGTATGTTCTGTTGAGTCTATACACTGTTGCTTACATTAAACATATGTGAGTGTGTGTGTATATAGGTTGCCAACATGTGAAAATCAGGTAATTACATATAAACATCTGGATTCTGGCTCCTTTTGAACGTTTTAAAAGTCTGGTAACACTAGGTTAGCAAAGAAACAACTGGCTGGAGCTGAGCACCTGCTGCCCCATTAAGCAGGTCTGCTCAGTTTGCTACAGGGCCTTCCAGTCCTCTTATACCTGCCTCCCTCCTCCACTCATTTATACTACCTGCCTGGCCCACGGACATTTGTTTTTTGACTCCTGATTTTACAGCTGGTAGCAGTGGAATATAACATTGTGCTGTTATCATATGAAGTTATAGTCATTCATTTTAAGAAAGCATTGACATATGTTTTCCAGAAAATTAGAAACAGGTTTAATACCAACAATAATATTTAAGAAATGTTTCAAAATATCATTTATGGAAAACTTCTCAATAGCTACAAATATTACTAATTTGCATGTGTAGTAGAGATCATGGTAGGGGACACCCCCACCACCACCAGTCATACTTGTTCCCACATGGAAAAACCATGACATCATTAAAGTTGAGTGGGTGTGAATAAGGAAGCAAAACTCAATTATAATAACATTACTGTCTGCTCCAACTTCACAGGGCAATCAGCTACAGGAGGCTGCCTCAGTGCCCCTCTCCATGCTCATTCTATGTCTCATGTTCATGTGCTTCATTCATCTCACACTTAAGATTTTGCTAGCACCTAAAATATCTTTGACATTTCCTTCTTCTACCTCCAAAACTTAAAAAATAAATCATGAAATTTTCATTCTTACTTGAAATCCTAAAACTATATTCCCAAAGTATTCCACTTCTTTGAAATATTCTTAGCTTAGTTCTATTTTTCTCTGACAAAAGGGTTTTAAAGAATTCTTCATTTTAATATATTCATATACTACTTGATTTTGCTTTAACTGAATAATCACTTTTGATAGCTATTCACAGAATATTAGAAGCAGTGGGGATTTCTGGAATTCTGACATGAGGAAATCAAGGCTCATAGAGTGACTTGTTCACAAACAACTGCTTTCAAATGACAAACATTCAAAAAAGCATTTTGGGGTCTGAAGTACTCATAGAATCAAGAATGTAGTAATTAATTATACATTCATAATCCCTTCACAAGTTTTGAGGCTTCTATTATATACCAAAAACTCCAGAAAGCATTGGGGATACACAATCCTTTCCCTTACAGAGCTTACAGTCCATTATAGGCATTGGCAAACTACAGCCCTTGTACCAAATCCAGCCTGTCATCTGTTTTTATAAATAAAGTTCTATTGGAGCACTACCACATTCGATTATTTATGCCTTGTCTATAGCTGCCTTTGTGTTGTAACAGCAGAGTTGAATAGTTGTGACAGAGACCATACGGCCTGCAAAACCTAAAATACTTATCATCTGGCCCTTTACAGAGAAGTTGGCTGACCTCTAGTCTAGTGAAAGAGAAAGATATTAAATAATCACACACACAAAAATGCTAAACTGAAATCATGACAAGTTTTCTGAAGGAGATATACATGATGCCACAGGAGCCTTTAGTGAGAGAAAGTTGATCTTTTCAGGGGCGACAGCCATTTTTCCTGCAGTCAGTGATACTTATATGAATAGTAGTGAACTTGGTAAAGAGGAGAGAAAAGAGACTTCCAGGCAGAAGGAAAAGAACATGCAAAGGTTCCTAGAGAAGAGCACTGTGAGCATGGGAAATTAAAAGAAGGCTTCTGTGACTGCAGTGTAGACATCAGAGAGAGCACATTATACAAGAAGGCTGTATAGGCCTTGCAAGCCATGTAGGGATGCTATCCTTGTTCCAAGAGCCACATAAAAACAAAAAACCAAGCCTACTGCTGTAGAATCCATTTTGACTCATAGTGACCATATACAACTGAGCAGAACTGCCCCATAGGGTTTCCAAGGCTATAAATCTTTACAGAAACAGTCTGGCACATCTTTCTCCCACAGAGTGGCTGCTGGGTTCGAACTGTCGACCTTTTGGTTAGCAGCCAAGAGCTTAACCCCTGTGCCATCAGGACTCCTCAAGGGCCATATAAAAGCCATTAAAATGTTTTAAGGGGGCGGGGCGGGGAATGACAATTTGTACTTGAAGTAATCACTCTGGGTAAAGTAGGAGACAGATTAGGGAAGAGCAGTGCCAAGGATATACAAGACCAGCAGTCAGGAGGTGATCCTAGCAGCCCAGATTTAGACGACAGTGGTAGTAGGGGAGTAGAGTTCACTGAGAGAAGTGGACAGATTCAAGAGTTATCTAAGAGGTACCTGTTAGTGGATTCAATATTTGTATGCTTGTACAAAGGGTATCAAATTAAACTCTACTTAAGTTTGGGGCTGGTAGCATAATGGCTAAGACACTTGCCTGCTAACCAGATGGCTGGCGGTTCAAACCCACCAGCCACTCCTCGGAAGGAAGGTTGGGCAATCCTACTTCCGTAGTGAT